AACGGGGTTACGTCCTTGGTCTGGAAAACGACGATTTTGTTGAAACTTTTCCTTTTTGGATGATAAGTTGCATGTCGCGTAACATTCGAGTTTAATTAAACTTTCCTCAAGTTTTGTTTCCGTGTGTCAGTATCATACGGTCGAGCTTCTCATCCTGTAGGGTTGGAGTGGAATATGAACCGCATTAATTGGGCTTGAGAATGGTGCAGGCGATTCATCCCCATGATGAGCGTCATAATATGATGTAATCATACTCGTTTTCTCTTTCGTTTCCTCCTTCCTTCAGAGAGGCCTCGTATGGTTTACATTGTAATAATTAAGGAGACCTTTAAAATCATAAAAAAGACGATTTTTACAAACCGCCATTGTTTAACAGTATAACTTTGATATTAGATCTATGAGAGGGATTCAACTATTTGCCACTACAAAAAGTATAAAATATTAAAAAAAAATATTGCAAATTTTGAAATTTTAAAGTAAGTCTGCATCCACCTTAAATGTTTGTCAAAATTGAACAATCTGTTACTTTATTGTTTGGATTTTGTGCAATGTTAAATCATCATAGTGTAGTCCTTTGCATTCTTTCCAAGAATGTATTCCCTCAGTTATTCTGTTCAATTTTTCTCGCGGCTCGTAAAAATTGTTCTTTTAATGATGCTTTTCTGAAGGTCTCTATAAGCACAATGTAAACCATATTGCACCTTCTTATAAGAAACGTAGTTGTTCAAGGGACGACCATAAAAACGACCCTCAGACTTTCTTCGATGATTTTCCTTTTCCACCAAAGTACATCCTCGGGTTTAGAGAGTGCATCGCGCATCATAGTTTGCGTAGGAGAAACCCAAGCGCCTTCATTTATTGGTGTATGCAACATAGACAGCCATTGAGTAGGAATAGTCGCATTTCAGGTGTTGAAATCAGTGATGTATTCGTCCGTCCGTTGGCCAAAATACAAATTGTTGTGTTTTTACCCTTTGTAAATAGGACGTAATGGTATTTCTCCGTATTTTTTTAACTTTTTCATTTCGTCACCTTCCGGCCAAAGTATCACAAACGCCATGCGACGTTTTAAAATTTCCGCCGCCATTTATTTTTTGCAGAGACATTGTTGATTGAATCTGTTCAAAAATTTCACTGAATTTTATCGGCAGCACAAAGAAAATTCGGTGAAATTTTTGTACAGCTTCGTTGAAAAATTTCTCCGTAAAAAAATAAAACGGAGGCAAAAATTTTTAAATGTCGCATGGCGGTTGTGATACTTAGGCCGGAAGGTGAAGATTTGTTTGCATGGATGGAGCATAATGTTTTCAAAGAAGTTTGGTCCCTTGAAAGAGAAAGAAAAATACATTTAAGGAAATGCAAAGGCTCTCTCAAGGTATTTTAAAACGATAAACCGCCTCTGTGAGGTAATAGAAATACTGGTTAAAACAACGGGTTTTATCTTTATCTAGTTTTAACGAGAAATTCCTGTCGGGGCTTATTTAACATGCATTCCAGCTGATTGAACAGGAAATCCTCGGTGCACATATTTTACCGCCGAAAAGTTCTGACACCGAGCACGAGATCATTTGGCCCACCGTTGGACGTTAGTGATCAACGTTGCCGAAGTACTTAGGATATTTGACAATATTCCGCGATAGCTCTATAGGGAGATTCCTAGAGCACTTTTCAAAATGGCAACATTGATTCTAACGACCTTTGAGTATAATCACGATCAATGGCGAGCCTTTACTACCACTGTGACCCGACGTGGGGNGGGGGGGGGGGGGGGGGGGGGGCTGCACAGCAGAGAGGTCATCGTAGCACACGTCATTCCATTAAAAGCCTCATTGACACGTAATATGCAAACGACTGATCCGATTCCATGGTTGTCAAGTTGGTCGCGATCTCACTTTTTTAAAGTGTGTTTTCTTGCGGAAAGAATATCACAAGCATTGGGAATCATCGCGAGTTGACAACTCTGCGTCTCGTCCGTTGAAATGTACGTAAAACAAAAGATATTTATCGAGGGAGCTGTCCCAACTGGGATCGATATTTATAATGGATTCGAATGAAAAAAGGCAACGTTGCCAACTTGTAAAAATCGCCACCGATTAAGAGCGCTATGCACAGGTACACAATTTCCCTTAACATTCCATGCTTTTCGAGGAAAATCGTGGGACAAATTCCTTTGGAAATTTTACTGAAGTTCCATTATTTTGACGCTAAAATTTAACACAGTTTACGGATATTTCCACGAAAAGTTTTTCAGTCTAATAATTAATTGTATGAGACAGGAATGCGGGAAAATTATGGCCATAAAGCATACCACGGTCCTCCTCTCCCAGAGCGAGCAAAATTTTTTATGAACCGATGTCACTTGATTGTTGCACGCACTGGTGGTGGTTACGCGCCTCTCATTTCCTGAGAGTATATCTCTAATTTTGTCGTCCTCCTGTAATACAATAGATAGCACCTTTAATTTGTCAAGTTAATACGAAGAGAAAAACCGAACACGGAATTTGGCCTGGAACGGCGCGGCGCAGAGAGCAATGATGACGAGAACGTGAGATGAAAAGGAGAAACCCTCGGCGCGGCGGTCGGCATGTAACACATATTAGCGCCTACAAGACTGCATGAATACTTCACGCATTGCGTCAAACACAGTGCGGTCAGCGCGGCGCGGCGCGGCGGCGGAAGTTAAAATTATTAAACCACATTTATGTTTGTTCTTTCATAATTTTTTGGCTCATCTCTTATAAATGGAGGGCCTTGTCCATACAGAGATAGGTTTACGGAACTTAACTTTCGCGTCAAGTTCCGTGAACTTTTGCTAGTAGTGTTGACAGGGCTTTCGCAAAAAATGTGACCAACACGAGTAAACGCGTCTTATTGCCTCTTTCCCTCCGGCACGTTCACTTGATGGTTTTTATCGATGTTTCAAAACGAATGAGAAGGGGGCGGCAAAATACAGGCGGCCCACGGGCGGCAAGTAAGTAAATCCGGCCCTGATTGTAATATCGCAATAAAGTACCTAGATGTGATGATAATATAATATGAAATGATGAAAAATAATAAGTTTTGTGTATTTTTGTCTCTTTCTCAGGTAGAAAATGCCAGATATGGACGAGGGTCTATCACAGACTGAAATTGATTTAATACGAGAATCATGGCAACCTTTCGCAAAAGATCTACAAGAAACTGGAATCACATTCTTCCTGGCGTAAGTTGACGTCTGAATAATAAAAGTAAAATCGAGTTTTGTGATGTATCAAAAGATTAGCGGTGCAAGCTACCTATATTTACATCTAAAAAAATACATATTAACACAATTTTTCTGCTGGTACGCTGTTGATTTGCGTATTCTTGATGATTTTATATTATTATTACAGTAAAGGGAGAGAGAAAAAAATACTTCTTAAGTATCTTTTTTTTCCATCAGCAATTTCGGCAAAGATTTCACTGGATATATCAAACAATTCATTTAAGCTCTAAGTGTGACAATGGGCAGAGGGGACTAGCGCTGATTGATAGATGGATCTACAGAATAATTGAAATAGACCTTCTTAAAGTGCCGCCTGTGCCGCTCAAATTGGCGGCCCACATGAATAAATGACCCCAAATACAGGTGACTAATTAATCAAAGAGGCTCTTGAATTTCGTCCGCGTCAAGTGCTGGGTGATCCGTCCTCCAGATAAAAAATCTAACTGAGCCGTTGAAATACAGGGTATAGGCGGGCCTGGTACCCCCAAGTGTGCAAAGCTGCGAATTCTCTCGGTGTGTACCACTGGATACAGGCGCGGACAGTACGTACCGGCACGGCTGTAAGTGAGCACTTAAGTGCGTTCGTCAAGTATACTTACCACTACGAGCTTGGATGGCACTTGAGTTGTGAGATCGATTCAACATGCTGCAATTTTGGATATTATTTAGTTATGCGGACGAAGAAAAGATAATCAACATGCTGCAATTTTGGATATTATTTAGTTATGCGGACAAAGAAAAGATAGGCGGAGAAACAATGTATTAAGTATTCCCGATTCGTGAAGTCAACGCGTGCCTTCAATTTATTGCAAAGTTGCGGATTTTCGATCTTGTATCATTTTTTAACAGAAAACTGCGGTAACATTGACTGTTAAATTTTGCCAATAACTTAATGGCAAAAAAGTGTTGAAATGTATGAGCCAGGACTCGGGAAACCCTTTTTGTTCTTTTAAAAGTAATATTCATCAGAAATTTACGTTGTAAAACGTTATGAAAACAATTGGTGTTAAAATTTTTTAAAGTATACTTGATAAATCTGATTGATCTCATGCTTAAGAAAAAATAAACTGTAAAATATGCAAGATAAAAACCATGATCACATGTAAATTTCTGTGTAATTTTACTCAAATAAAGAAAAAATACTTGTACACCGGGAAAAAAACACATTGGATCTAGAGTCCAGACTCTTAAAAACATCGACAAGAAAAAGTACTCTTGATTCAATCAGAATCTAGCTTAAATCAAGAACCAAGCCTCTTAATTTAAGCGGATTTCGTTTTGATTCAAGCAAAAATCCGATTGAATCAAGAGTATTTTTTCTTGTCAATGTTTTCAAGAGTCTGGACTCCAGATCCAATGTGTTTTTTCCGGTGTAAAAGTGAAAGGTGGCATTTCTACGTATAAAAGGACCAAAAGGCCCTGGTAAAAATTGGCGGTAAGAGCTGCGTTTCAAAATACCATAGGAATTCTTATAGCCGGCTAAAGAAGGCTACAGAAAATCATATAGCTGGCTGTAGAATTCTGAGTAAATCATACGGCCGGGCTACTCGAGGCGATAAAAAATTATGCAGCCGGGCTTTACACTTTATCGCCTGGCTGTTGCTTTTTCGCCATCGATTATAAAAGGCTATAAGAAATTGTGTAGAAATTCGTGTGCTTTGGAAATCATTAAGTTTGATACGGAACCACCTTAATATTTACAAAACACACGCTATATTCTTCTTCAATACATATTTTTTTTCATCAATTAAAACAAGAATAATCCATACAGGATGTGCAAACATTTCAAAGTCATGAGTTGAATAACGCTGACTCCGTCAGATTAAATATTAGAGCCTAACACAAAGCGGAGCGGCGACGCACTGGCGCCTACAAACCTAACAGGGATACTTCACGCATTGTGCAACGCGTGATGTATCCCTGTTAGGTTTGTAGGCGCCAATGCGCGTGCCACGGCGCTTGAAGCAACTATTTCACACCCAGAGATATTGCACAGTATCATACGAAACTGAAGGCGCTCTAATATATTAGGAATGGCAGGCATCCATCAAAAGTGCGGAGCTTTCCTCGCAAAATAAATCAAGATACTGCGGCCCAAAAAGAGAGCTGCAGTGGTCCAAAAACTCACTAAGTCCTAGCATCCGTAATTAGTGACGTTTATTATACACTTTATCGCCTGGCTGTGAGTTGCTTTGTCGCAATCGGCTAAAAAAGACTCTAAGAAATTGTGTAGCCGGCTATTGAAGCTATTGGAAATCTTACAGCCGGTCGTAGGTCTATGGTATTATGGAACACAGATTCTACTGCCAATTTTTACCAGGGGGGTTTCCTCGCTCGGATATAAGATTTTTCACTTTGGAATTTAGGAGATTTTTTACCTTTTTTTTAAAAAAAACGAAGCTACTAAGGTGGCAGGTGGCTTTGGATCGAATGCAAATTCATTTTTGAAACCCTCTAACAATTTTCTGTGCAGATTCTTCAAAAGGCAGGCGGACTACCAGGAGGCCTTCCCGTTCAGAGGCGTGCCTTTGAGTGAGCTACGGCAGAACGAATCCTTCCGGCGGCATGCCAAAGCAGTGCTTCAGTTCATCGACACAGCCATAGCATCGCTCGAGAACACCTCGGAAATCCTAAGCATGTTAGAAAGCAACGGCAAATCTCACGGCCGGAAAAATCTCGGCCTCACGTGGTCGCACTATGAGGTAAAAACCGCCTAACTGCATGCACACCAGCGTCTGGATTGGCACTTCTCGTCACCTTCCGGTCAAAGTATCACAAGCGTCATGCGACGTTTGATAATTTCCACCGCCACTTTCTTTCTTCACGGAGAAATTTTTCAACGAAGTTGTCTGAAGATTTCACTGAATTTTCTTTGTGCTGCTGATAAAATTAAGTGAAAAATTCAAATAGATTCAACTTACATTTTTTCTTTGAAAAAATAAAATGGCGGCGGAAATTTTTAAACGTTGCATGGCGCTTGTGATACTTTGGCCGTAAAGTGGACGACTTGTAGTGAAACTTTCGGGAGATAATACTTTGTGTTAAGTTCCCAATGAGAACCGCTTCTACGACTGAATCGGCTCGTGCGAAAACGTCCGATGTCCAAATACAGAGTTTCAGAATTTGAGTGGACGATTTCTTTGTAACTTATATACACCTAACAAACAAGATGGTTTAAGATTTTAAGAACGTTAAACAATTTTATAAAAAAATCCCCTGAGTAGCACTGCGTTCAGCAGAAAGGAACTAAGCCACATCGGCTACTGCCGAATTTAAAAGCGGCACTTTAAATTTCTACAAGGGAAAGTTTGTGCGGATTCCTTTGAAAATTTCAAGGGATTTGCTTTGTACAATGCAGAAAATTCAATTTTTGCAAAAAAATTCAAACCTTCGTCTTTATAGTGCCCAGTTAAGTTTGGCAAAAGCTGATGTGGCTTGGTTCCTTTCTGCTTAACGCGGTCCAATTAAACATTCACTGAAAAGATCGATCTTACTCATCAATGTCGTGGGGCAAGAGAGAACACTGCAATATTATATGAAGCCCTGTATTTGACGACGGATGTTTTCGCACGAGCCGATTCAACTGCTATGCTTAGGGAAAATGCCCATATCAAAATAGTAGCTGTGTGCCATTAAAGGTACTTTTGAAAAGTATGCTACAATTTTATATTCGAAGGAAAGAACCGTTGAGCAATGCTGCGAATAAGGCCTTTGTCTTAGATTCATACCATGGATTTTAGCATGTATCAAGAGTTCGATAAAAGCCAGTGCGATTTGAGTACCTAACTATGAATTCCTAAGTGCCAAATCGCAAAAGCACAGCATAGAAAAGATCTCAACTATCGAACATCTTTTCACGATCCAATCGCTCAACGAGGGTGTATGCATGGAGTTACTATAAGTGTTCTTATTTGACTAAGTGATGTGTTCCCGCGCAATGAGTCTGGAAGAGGGAAGCACTTAAGTCGTCGTGATACTCAAGATTGTCACCTTTACTTTGTTGCCATATCGATGGCTAAATGCGTGAAATGCGTACCTCATTTCCTATGTTTGAAAATATCCAACAATGTTTTAATAACAATGTTAAGATAACGCCCAGCTTGCGAAAATTTTACGCGATGGGAGAAATGAGGCGCGCGCTGCGTCATTGAGAGAATGAAAAAATCCTTCTTTTTTTCGAGTATGCAACAAGGACAGCTCGCGACCACGAATAATTGCAGCCATCACGATCGCACATTGATGACAGAGCAGAGATATAACGACTCGTACTTGATGGATGTCCATGTTCCTCAGATTCTGGAAAAAAGAGGCCAGATTACGTATTTTCATACCTTCAGCTGTGCCAATCACGCCCCCTTGAGGCGTCACTACAAATAAGATACGCAGAACCAACACAACATGGGAAAAGAGCAAGGAAAAATACGTGTGTTAATGACGGTGCAGAGATACAAATATTCGTGCTTGATGGATGTCCGTGTTGCATCTGAAAAATTGAAGGCGCGATGGCGCGAGGTGTGAACGCGCAGTCCTGCGCGTTCGCCGGCGGCGCTTGTCGGCGCGTAACGCATATGAGCGCCTGGAAGACTGCAGGAATACTTCACGCATTGCATGGTTGCTGGGGCGTAGCTAAGCTGCGCTCCATACGCTGCCAATGCAATGAGGCGTCCGTCGCTCAGATTTGGGAGAAAAGTTGAAAAAAAAAACTAAAGAAAATAGAAAGAAATCTACGTTTCAGTTTTATTTTTGTCAGGAAAACTAACCAAAATGCTTCTTACAATTTCATTTGAATAATTTTTTACAAGGAGAAGAAATTTCATGATAAATATTACAATAAAAACCGTTTGCGCTAGTTTATCTTTTGAAAAAAAAAAATAAAATAGCAGAGACTCACAGCGTCGCAATCTGAAGTGGGTACACATTTTTCGACTTGGGCCTAACTTTGGTGTAATTTTTTTTTTCAATTGTCCCGGTACAATATTTTAGAAGTACATATACTATACTTGGCGAATGAACGGTTTCGGAGCTAACGCTATGAAATGTAATTGAGTCAAAACTTACATGAAAAACCCCATGTAACAATTCTGTTTTTCGTGTATTCGACGTAATAAAATTTTATAAAGTTAGCTACACCGAAACCATAAAAATCGTGATGTAAGCTGCTTAAAAACAAGCGGTCCCGCTTATCATTTTTAGCAGGGACGACACGTTAAAAGATTACTTTTTCTTCATTCGTGCGTATCCTTATAATAATATTTACATTCCTTTGATTTCAGCATCTGGAGTTTACTCTGTTGGATGTGATAGACGAATTTTACGAGCAGGAAAAACGGCCATTAAGCTCTCTCGAGAAGGAAACTTGGGCCAAATTCATCAGATCCGTCACGTCCGGTATTTACAAAACTGTGCAGATTCACCAAAATGCAATTCAAAGTTGACCCCCTCCTCCCCAACTTAAATCAGTGACAGGGAATCATCTCCCGTCATTTGCAGCAGAACAGCATCGCTTGGAGGGTAGAAACCTCGGGGACAGTGACGAAACGTGAATCAACGACTATCGATATTTTCTCACTCTAAGTTATGGTAAAGAATCGAGTTTTTGCGTGTTGATTGTGAGCACCTTGATAATAGATCCTTTTTCACAGGTTTAAACGAGGTATCAATTGATTTATCATAGAGCATTACAAGCCGCTGCAGGGGAAAAATTCTCGCTGATGAAGACATGAAGTTGTTGGAGGTTATCTGCTCACAAAAATAATTGCATAATGTCACAGTTTGATGAATGTCTTAATTTGTCTTTAGTTATCTTGTCTAATAATGCCTTAAAATTAATTTTATACATACTTATCTACGAAGTAGTTTTTGAGATTCGACCTGAATACTCGCACCTGTTGCTCAGTAAAACTGCTCTGGTAAAAATTGGCGGTAGGAGCTGCGTTTCAAAATACCATAGGAGCTCCTATAGTCGACTGAAGAAGGCGATAGAAAATCATATAGCTGGCTGTAGAAAGTGGAAAAAATCATACGGCCGGGCTACACGAAGCGATAAAAAATTATGCAGCCGGGCTGTAGTTCCTATCGCCGGGCTTTACACTTTATCGCCTGGCTGTTGCTTTTTCGCCATCGGCTATAAAAGGCTATAAGAAATTGTGTAGAAATTCGTGTGCTTTGTAAATCCTTAAGTTTGTACGGAATCACCTTAATATTTACAAAACGCACATTATATTTTCCTTTACTACATACCTATTTTTTTTTCATCAATTAAAATGAGAATAATCCATACAGAGTGTACAAACATTTCAAAGTCATGAGCTGAAAAACGCTGACTCAACGAGATTAAATATTAGAGCCTAACACGAAGCGGAGCGGCGGCACACTGGCGCCTACAAACCTAACAGGGCTACTTCACGCATTGCGCAATGCGTGAAGTATCCCTGTTAGGTTTGAAGGCGCCAATGCGCGTTTCGCGCTGGCTGCCCGCCTGCCGCACCGCAGCGTGCCACGGCGCTTGAAGCAACTATTTCACACCAGAGGTGTTGTGCAGTATCATACGAAATTGCAGGCGCTCCAACATGTTAGGATTGGCAGGCATCCTTCAAGAGTACGGAGCTTTCCTCCCCAAATAAATGAAGATACTACTGCCCAAAAAAGAGAGCGCTAGTCCAAAAACTCACTAAGTCCTAGCATCCGTAATTAGTAACGTTTAGTATACCTACACTTTATCGCTAGGCTGTTGCTTAGTCGCCATCGGCTATAAAAGGCTATAAGAAATTGTGTTGCCGGCTATAGAAGCTATTGGAAATCTTACAGCCGGCTGTAAATCTATGGTATTTTGGAAAACAGATTCTATTGCCAATTTTTACCGGGGTGGAGAAATCATTTCCAAGTCAGTATGATTTGTAGTGTTGAAAACCTACTGCGTGAGGACTACACTGACGTGCTAAAGAAAAACGCCGTACGAGCCTTCAGGCGTTGCCAAATTTCCCCAGGCAAACCACTAATTTTCAGGAAAATTTTTGAATGTTCATGTACCAATTTCTCAGATAATTTTGTTTATAATTTAATCTAAAACTTCTGAAAATTTCAAGGAAAAGTATTCATAATTTTCCTAAAAAATGAACATTTTATTGAAGGAAATTTGGCAACTCTCAAATGTTCGGACGGTGTTTTTCGTTAGCACAGCAGTACATGAGCAAAAGCGAGCAACTTCTTGCCCCAACCGACCGCATCGTTTGTGTTCTCGTTAGGTATGTGAACAATGTGAGAATACAACTATTCCGGCTCCTGAGTATCCACATTTGCTTACCTTTTCCATTGAAGGCAAACCTGACGGCCTCGTGACATAATGCGGCAGGAGCTAAGAATTGCTTTTAACTGTCAATACGCCCGATATCTTACACTAAATTGAGGGCGATCATATTTTACCCAGGATACTGTCAACAAGATGAGTACATGAGCAAAGCGAGCAACTCCTTTGCCACTAACAGACCAAACCGTTTGTGTCCTCATCCTGCAACTTCGTCAGGTTTGCCTACAATTTAAAAGGTAGGCAAAAGCGGTTATTTGTGCAGGAGCCGGAATAATTTCATTAGCACCATGTTCATGAAACGAGATTTTGCAACAGTGAAAACTCGAGCAAAAACGTAGTCCGGCTCTGATGATAAAGAGAGGGTGTTCTGCTGAAATTTTATGTTACAAACATGTTCATTTTCTTTTAAAAATAAATGCGAGAGGAAATGAGAACACTGCCATGAAGCTACCTACTTACTTTTCTGGCTCATATCCGTGCGATACGATGGCTATCTCATGAATAGGTCGACCAAGTAGGCCACACATTTAATGAAGGATGAGTCTGCTTGTCATACGATTATTTGTGAGATGATATGGCCTATATTCACGATTTCATCCGATACGACTCCAGACAAAAATTGTCCAAAAGATGTCACACTTTTTGTGGCTGTAGGTATTGTTGGCTACTATTATTAGAGTGGCTGTATTGATTCCTGAGTTATTTACAGGTAAATGTGCTAGAGTTATATGTATGGATGTTTCAAGAATGTTAGGGTTGAATCACCTGCAGAAAAGGAATTTAAAATTTAAGCTTTATTTGTCGCCAAACTCTGTACCTAAATACTATCACCCACTTGACGTTTTATTGTAATTTTAAGTAAAAGAATAAATCTTTTTACCAGTCTAAAATAGTTTGTCCTTTCTTCCGGTTTTGTTCTTTCCTTTAAAACGAAGGCCTACTATGTGAGCGCAGTTTGCCCAGAGGTTACTAGATTTGCCCTCAAAGGACAAAATATGCAAAAGCGGGTTCTACGGAACAGGAATAGCAGTATTTGCACATGTGTGCAAGTACACAGCCTTTAGTCTATAATAAAAAAAGATCCCACTGTATAATCTCAGATGATTTGACTTTGCAGAACTGCTTTCTAAATTAACAGGCAAAAAAATCATCAAAATAATGGCTGGTGTGCCAATTAAAATTCTCAAAAGAAATTTTAGCGGATAACCCAGCTTTGATTCAAGGTGTACCAACATAGACAGTAGCAAAATTCAGAACTAAAAAATGGTGATATTGTGAATCTTAGGATGAATCAAGTTGTAATATTGCACCCCTGAGAAATAGCTTCTATTTCCTGGGCAATTAGTAACTTAGTTATCAGTAAGTTTTACTTCAATCTGGGTTGAATTTCTGGAGAATACTTTGCAATAGGCTAGTCTCCTTTCTTCAGTCTGAGAAATTATTTCCAGTCCTGGAATACACTTGAAAATATGGTTTCAAATATGGCTCTGTAACAAAACTAGTTCTTTTTGAGACTTTAGTAAGCAAAGAACTTTAGAAAAGTCACTTGCATCCATTACAGTGGGTTCTTAAGAAAAAATTAAAACTGTGATCCCAGTGAATTGCATGGTCCCATAATAACCTTGTTTGGATTAGTTCTTTTTAGAACTAGCCGATACTATTTCGTTCAGTTTTTGCAAATTACACAAGATTAGAACTCGTTGAGTTTCTTTGATAAATAAGATAAAAGAAAAGTTAAGGCGTTGATTACGAGAATGGAGAGGCCGTAACTAGTCAGTTTTGTGACGTCAAGTTAGTAAATATTTGCCGAAAACAACAAGCATCTCCGGGTCATCGGTGCATCGATGAGTGAGGCAGTCGCTGTGTAGACTAAACAGAGTAGCCCTCGATCCGCCAAAGTTGCGCGAGTGAAGAACACATGTGAAACCGCGGCCAAGTTTCATCTACTAGCGTTACATCACAGAAACGTAGTTACCGCCTCTCCATTCTCGTAGGCAACGGTTAAGGATGTTACATAGATTCTGAGATTTGTGCATAAGACAATCAAAAATGTGTTTTCATAGCTGATGTTTATTCCTAGCAGATGAATGTATATTGATGGTGAAACTGCAGAAATACGAATAGCAGTTAGCTGCGATGCAGACTTCCTGTCATACTTAATTTTCTATATGAAGAACTACTAAACGTCATTTCATGGACACTTCAGTGACTTTTTTTCTCTATGCAAAGTTTATTCTGTGAAAATTTCAAGGAATATATTCGTTTGGTCTCCTTTCAAAAAATAAAATAGGAGTAGAGATTTTGAAACACTGCAACCGAGATACCCATTTTTTCAGTTTCACCATAAATATGTTCTCAAAAAAAGAGAGAAAAAAAGATAGTGAAAAATTTACTTAAGTGAATTTACTGATGGTATCTTTAGTAAATACACCATAAAGAAAAAAGGATATGGGAAACAAAAATACTATGAAGTTATGATGATATTAAGTTTTATTTCTAGAAATACAATTCAACACAGTTTTTATACAAAATATTAGTAACAAAGTGTACAAACATACAAAAGTAGCTCATACTCCACCGATGAAATCACTCACAGATTCATTAGAAAACAAAGAAATAAAAAAATAAACTAGTGATTGTTTAAAACTACAAGTTATATACTCTGACCATACATAAAGGCTGAGGCACCAATCCAAGAGGAACCTAACCTTCGACTAGCATAAACAATTAAAAATGAATTAGTTTCTGATACAGGAGAACTCCAGTTATTTGCAGTGACTGGTACCGACTATGGATAGTTGAAAACTGTCGCTAATCCGAAATCACGGGGCACAGACTGAAAAAGTAGCACGTAAGTTGTTTTTTCAAGAATAGTACCGTGAACTTGAGCAGGATTATTCATGCTTATTTTATGAAAATAATTCTAATGGCTGTCTATCCCATTGAGCCTCTTTCACCCTTTTTTTGATGCAAGAAAACAAAATATCAGTGCTTCAAGCAACAGCGAATAATTTAACTGCAGATAACTGGGGTTCAACCCATCAGAAGTCACATGTTGGTTAAATACACCAAAAGTCATTGATGAAAGAAAAATTTGCTACTTAGATGAAAATAGTAACATTAAAGAAATGCCCATGACATTAGTCACTTATTTCTTAGATTGAACACAGCAACTGTATTCATTAGTTTTTCAATAATTGCGAATCTACCAATTGCTGACACAAAAATAAGAGAAATTAAGGAATAAATCATTTGTTTGTGCAATGTCAATGAAATGAAGTAGCTGGAGACTCTAAAGAACTATTGTGGTAATTTCATCGGTTTAATCTACAATACTTAGTTCGAGCTAGAATAGAAAAGAAAAGAAAAGAAAAGAAAAAAGACTACTTAGAAAAACTTCTTCAGAGATGATCTACTTTTTTTGTAGTGTCAGCCTTCTAATACAGTAAACAACAAAAAAACAAAGAATGTACAGTATCTTCCCTTTTTTTTTTTTTGGACAGTCGAGCCTTGGATTCAAACTAGAGGATTTGGCAGGAAAATTTCACTTCTCCTAATTTAGTAGACTTTAATGTAAGAAATCAAAGGTAGAGTTTTTGAACCACTTATTCAGGACACTTTCCAGTTTTAGAAAATCGAAAAGTGGGTGAGTTTTAGATTGGTATGAATCCTTCATCTAAAAAACGGGATTTTCCAAACTACAGGGATTTTCTTGGAACAGGTGAAATAGTAATGACACAGATAGATACATTTAATGGAGGAAAACTTCCAAGAAACAGCTCGTATTTAACTGTTACTCTGTTGCTCAAGTTTTGAGGCACTTAGAGGGAAAGAGAATAACATAATCCAACCTCATTTGGAAATAAAGATGGCGGAACGTAGTTCCGTTTTGCAATGAAAAAACCATGGGACTAAAGCATAAACCTGTGGCAATTTCTCAAGCAAGAGCCTTGTTAGAACAACAATAAATTAGAATAGAAAAAAATTTTAAAAAAAGATAGATACACCTGAAAGAATCTTCAGTGAGGTTTCAACATGGAAAATTGGGCAGCAAGTATTTACGAAAAATCTTGCTAAACTGCAAAATTCTGAATGAAACTACACCATAATTAGAAACGAAACTACACCATGATTAGAAATGGAACTAAAATAGACGGCAAAAAAATATTGTATACGAAAATGTAAATAATAAAAAATGTGCCATTATATTAACAGGAACCAGAACTAAATGCAAGCTATACTATGATTTTACTGTCGTTGCAAAATTGCATGACCAGAAGAAAGAGGCTGATTTGGTATGTGAAACTTGTACCCTGTATTGTGGTTAATTTTTAGGAGAAAATTTAAAAAGAAGAAACAGGCAGAAAATTCTGTAGAATGAAAAATAGGAATGGGGATAGTAATTCCTTACAATATGTAATTTGTACAAGAAACAGTTTGAATAAGAGACTGCAAATTTGTGCTAAGTTGATGCGAAAAATTGCATTAAATAAAAAGTCAGACTTAAAAAATCCGATCCAGAGAAATCACTCCCTAGAGAATTTTTTTCTTGACAATATCTTTGCCAACGAACATTTTTCTTTCCTCTTTTGGATCCATTGTGAGGACATCAGCATTTAATTCTCAACAGATCTAGACATCATTTGAGGTAAGAGCAAGACATGGTGCCAAAGAAGTAGAAGCTTTACATACCTACTCAAAAATAAATCAAAATATTACAAAACAACAAAACTATGTACATTCAATAAAAATTTCTACGTACATATTCATTACACAAGATAAAATTCTACAAAATTTACAAAACTTCTCGTACAAAAAAAAAAAAAATTTAGACTATGGCACTTATATAATTTATAGCCACACAGTTGTAAAGGTAACTACAACGATGGAGTTCTTGACTCAGCAAAAAGAAGAAAAAAATATTTTTGTTCATCTTTCTCCCATTAACAAAATTAAAATTAGAAAAAGAGAGTTTTTAGGATCTCAGTAGAAACAATGAACTTTAAAAATTATCATCCCTGAAAATGAACTTGACTCCACAGCTACTGGCAGTACGTAAGAAAGGAAAACGAGGATATACCATTTTCTGGCAATTACAAACAATTTGAGCTATGTCAAAGGAAACATATTTTAAATAAGTACATTAAAGGAGATGTTTTACAAGCGATAAGAATGTCTTCAGAAATCAAATGATGGAAGAAACTTAGGGCCGTATTCAAAATCCTTCCTTACACAGCTCCTCACTTTAGGAGGCCCTATGCGGTTGTATTGTGCCTAGGGTAGGTTTTAAATAGAACAATAACAATGCATAATAAAAAGGAAAATTCTTACGAAGCTCAAGGCAAATTTAACAGTACAACTTTAAATTTAGAAATTCGAATGATTTGCCTGCCTCTACAAAAAATTGATAGTCCAAAGAAAAAAGTTTTACAAGTTTTGAAAATTTTAAGGTAGGTTCACACCTACCTTAAAGTTTGTGAAAATTATCAAATTTTTCTTCCTGTATTTTTCATTTGTTGCGATGCCGAATTTTTGTTATCCTTTGCAGGGCTTTATTTGCAACGTTCTTCTGTTGAATTTTCATCTAAGTTCGTTAAAAATGTCCTTTTCATGATGCAATGTTAAGGATTTCTCTCAACCTCCCATTGTCATGATGTAAATCATAAGAAGCTACCGAAAAAAAGATGTTTAAGGAACAGCTTACTATGAATACGGCCCTTACTCTCACATAAAATGCAGGAGACAAACTTTTTGCATTAAAAACTGGTACCAGTCATGTTTTACGAATTTTTAATAAGACACTTTGTAAATATATATTCTCTTAATGTCGTACTTGGAAAAAATTCCATTGACCATTCCTGTCAGTATGTCATACTTTAAAAAATCATGAATTTTGACTGATATCTAATTTTAAAGCAAGAGCTATAAAAGCATCTCCTGTCAAAATAAAGAACAAAGAAAAATATTTTAAGCAGCACACTGATGTTTGCCTATGAAATTAAGAATTCAACTTCGAGCAGTATGAAGATCAATGATGGACTCGATGAATGACACATACTAAAGTTATAGTGCTACACATGATAAGATCAGTCTAAGATGACAGGCTATAAAAGAGTCTCTAGGAGCCTTTTTGACCCAATGATATAGAAAATCTTGGGAAAAATGCTTTGGATAACTCAGGCTTTTTTTGTCACAAAAGCAGAAAGGATCAAGGAACAGAGGAGAGATACTATCATCATCGTTGCTATAGACTGTTTTCATCATATGTCAGCTGTACAGCTTTAGTGTGCATTATTCTTCATATGTTATCTTTCCAAGTCTCATAATAGTAAATTTTTTACTTGCACAAAAAAAGAAGAAAAAAGGAAAGAAAATATAACCTTCTCTTAAAAACAAGATTGTTAACTTAAATTGATGAGTAGTAAGTATTTCCATGTCAAAAGACAACGCAGCTGCAATTTCTCATCAGCACAAAAAACAAAATCAAAATCTTCTCTCTGAGGTAAAAAGGAAAAATCCCTACTTCAATAGCTGCTTGGACGGACAGCACACAAATAACAATGGAGCTAACAACTATAAAATTTAAAGATATGAATATTTTGATGCAAGTTTAAAGTTGATTAACCATACTAAAGACGTCAGACTCTTGAACTTATTCTGAAGGCACATACACGCACCTACATGCATGTAAATTTGTAAAATTATTGGGAAGAAGGTTTCTGATACTGGCTAGATCCAACTTTGAATGAATCAGGTTAGTTGTAGTTGAGGTATATGATCCTGTGAGACCTCCATATCAAACCTTTCAAGAAACTCTAACAGTAATATTTGTTGAGAAAAAAAGGAAGTTTAATAGAGGCCAAAGAAGGCGATACCAAATTTCAATGTTTATTCTCAGTCTGAAAAGTACTGTATAGAAGTACTTGTCTGGATCGAGCGCTACTTATTCTTTGTTCTCTTCAAAAACCTGTGGTTTGGCTGTTCAGCAGCCAGTCAGTGATACACCAATACATATCGGATTTAAGTAATCTTAGGTTTTACACTTGGCTTCCCAAGGTATAGCGAAGTCAGGCTCTAATTTTCAGAGAAATGTGATGCGTACAACATTCTTTAACGCTTTCTCTTACCGGTTAGGTAAGTTTATTTGGTAACTGCAGTTAATCACAGGTTGAGCAACTAAACTTCAGCCAGATTTTGCCGCTTCTCCTCTTCAAGCATTGCATCGAGTTCATCTGTCAAGTTGGCAAGCATGTTTCCAATATCGTTCAGGACATCGCTTGGCTCTTGCTCTAATTTTCTGTGGAGGAAAAAGAATTGGTGGTGACTTACTGAGTTACTGTACATTGAATTAAGGAGTAAGAGAAGCTGCAATTAAGGTATTATGGGCTGCGGTTTTGCCACAGAATGTAGAAAATCAATTTTTCTGATATTTCCCTGATGCATTCTGCTAATATTTCCTGACTATTGAGGTTATACTGGATGGTTAGAAAGACATTTGAAATAGTTTTCAGGAATAATTTGTTGTTCAAAATGTTGAACCCATTCTAGAAGGCAAATAAAGGTGACTTAAGGTGATTCTATGTGATCTAGGGACGAGATCCGCCACCATGCTGCGCTGCCTTAAGGTTTACATCTTTGAGAAGCAATAATTATCATAATGTACAAGATAATGCAAGAAACTGATCCAAAATGTGTAGCAGCAGTAATACTGAGTAAAATGACATCAAATTCATGTAGATTCATTGTATATTTATACCTAAAATATGATAACGGACGTCGCCCATTGACTCAATGTGTAAGAGAGAGTCATTCTCCTAAGCAACAACTAGTTGCTCGGGAGAGAAAAAATTTCTCTCGTAAGCAACTACTTGATACAGAGGAGAGAAATGTTTTCTCTCCCCGGCAACTAGTTGTTGCTTAAGAAAGAGAGGAATGTATCCGTTCCTAAGCACTAACTAGTTGCTCAGGAGAGAAATGTTTTCTCTCCTCTGCATCGAGCATTTGCTTGCAAGAGAAATGTTTTCTCTCAATGCAGAGGGGAGAGATTTTTTCTATCCCGAGCAACTTGTTGGTGCTTAAGAGATGAATGCATCTGTCCATAAGCACTAACTAGTTGCTCAGGAGAGAAAACATTCCTCTCCTCTGCATTAAGTATTTGCTTACAATAGAAATGTTATTTCTTACTAAACAACTACTCAATGCAAAGGCGAGAAATGTTTTCTCTTCCGGGCAGCTACTTTGAGCTTGGGAAAGAATGACTCCCTCTTACACATTGAGGCAATGGGCGACGTCCATTATCGTAGTTTCAGGTATAAATGTACGATGAATCTACACAAATTTGATGTCATTCTACTCAGTATTAATGCTGCTACACGTTAGGGCTCAGTTTCTTGCATTGATTTGTACGTAACTTTAATTATTGCTTCTCAAGGAAAAACCAGAATCAAACAGAAATCAGAGCATATGATACCGATTTGCATGTTATGGTGCGCCTGGGACACATATTAATTGCCGAGTGAGGGGAGGGAAAAAACACTAAGAAGTGGCTCGAACTGTATGTAACAAGGTGGAGAAATGGTGCTGGGTCCACATTGTGCACATTTCACATCCTGCGAAATGGTGTGGATGTGGACCCAGCACCATTTCTCCATCATGTTAACTGACGAGTTGACTTGCACCTGTCGCACCATTTTGCAACGTTGCTAGGCAATTGTTTTTGTAGTTTCTCTCCAAATTTGGATTGATAGTGCTATTAGAATCTTTCTAACTATCATTCTGGAGTATTCTGTTGCTAATCTGAAAGAATTTTGGTGATTATCTTCTCATATGGAGCAAAAAAGTATTTTTATTGAAGGACTTGTTTGTATTTCTGGGCCCGGCAAACAAATAAATAATCTCATGTGAATAGGTTAAAAGGAATATTACTTTAAAAAATGACATTTTGTGCTCACCTCGAGGAGGACAGACTACTACTTCTTTCTTTTGACTGCAGTTCAATTGTTGGGGCATAGTCTGGAACAAAAATAAAATAAAAATCAGAAAATAATAAATCCAAGTTGTTGAGTCATAATATGCGGGTTTAAACTGCAAATACTTCCACAAGGAGAAGCATTTTAAGATGAACAAACAGGAATTGTTTCTGACTAACGCATACCATGTACACCACAATGATGGCCAAAACGCAAAACTGCATATCTCTCTCTGCGACTTGTAGAGATCCTGTCATACTTCATTTTTTGTTTGGAATATTAGTACGAGGTCTGTTAGATTAGAAACCGGATTTTGGTCATAACTAGCCCACAATGTGTCCGAATTAGGTTTTCTTGAGCTTTCCTCATAGCTGAAAATATACTCAAGAACGCTACGTTCACAGATTTTGTTCATTTTGATCAGTGTTTATTCTGTGTCATCTTGAATACGAGTAAGTCGGGTGCGTTTTGCGATTTTCATCATGCGATCACTGATAGAGCAAAGATTCAACATTAAATTTTGTTTTAAACTCGGTATACCTTGTACCGAAACTTTTGGTGTATGCTAAGTAAAGTTTACCATGATCATTGAATGAGATGTTCCCACTGCTTTGAATGGGTTAAACTATTCAAAACTGGTCAGGAGTTCGTCAAAGATGAGAAGCATGGAAATCGACCCTCAACAGCAACTGACATTTGTCACGTGGAAGAAGTGCGGGCAAAAGTGCTCGAAAATGGTCGTTCCGAGCTTGTTGAACAGAGTAATATTTCTGAAGACTCTGTACATACAATTTTGATAGAATATGTAGACCCGCATGGAGTTTCAGGTACACTTGCCCCTTGAGTGCTGTCCGTTGAACGAAAATCCAACCAAATGTTAATTTCCCTTTAGCTGCTTGAACGTTCTAACAATGATCCTACATTTTTGGATAAGATAATTTTCGGTGACAATACTTCGGTGTACGGCTACGATATGGAGACGAAACTCCAATCGTCCTTGTGGGTTGAAAAATGTAGTGCAAAACCGAAAAAAGAGAGACAAGTTCGGTCAAACATAAAAATCGCAAAACACCCTTGAGGTTGCCTTACTTCAAGCCACATACCAACGAAGCTAATTAAGATTTTTCAAATTTGTGAACGTAGCGTTCTTAATTATAATTTCAGCTATCAGAAAAGCTCAAGAAAACGTAATTTGGACGCATTGTGGGCTAGTTATGACCAAAATCCGGTTTCTAATCTAACAGACCTCGTAAACATAGTTTCTTAAAAACTTCCTTGATTTTCCTTCTCTATTGGCTGAATATTCTGTATAAATACATTAAGCTATAGAATTGGCTTGTTCTTCCTGGAAAAATTAAAGGAGTAAGAGACATTTTGAAAAACTGCTACGCAGATACATGATTTCACACTGTGACCATCGATATACTTGTTCACAAACATTTGAAAAAAAAAAAAAAAATAATAGTTTGACGAAAAATTTCATTGACGTTTCATTAATATTTCATTAATTTGACGTGATTTTTGGAGAGAGATACATTTAGGCTGCATAACAAATTCTCAAGATTTTTAAATCAAGTGTACAAGGCATAAAACGAATGCAATCTGATTTTTCCTCCCCCAGGAAATTATTGGGACTTACATAAATGATTCATCATCAATGATTTTATGATTCTTGAAAATTTCAAACCTCAAATACAAATTTTAGGTGAATAATGGAGCCTCATAAAAACATAGTGCTTTTATTATTGAAATGAACTAAATTAATATTTACAATTGTACTAAATAAATGGGAAAAACATTTAGCACTAATGTTAAGCCCAACATGTTTCTTTTACTATGATTTCTGAAATTGAGACATCTAAAGGAATCTTTTTGAAAAAGTTGAAGATACGCAAGATTATGATGAAGATACTCACCAGCTCCAGGGCGACTTGATCGTTGCTTTATTGTTCCAGCATTTTCATTTGCAAAAGGGATTGAGTCAGATTCTGTGCTTGAGACAGACTGCAAACAGACATGAACAAAATGTAAGTCAAGACAAGAGCTAGAAAGCGAATGAGTTAAAGTCTTGATGACTTATAAATAAGGATGGTTGAATAGAGGGATTGACCGCTATGTTGTAAAATTTTCCTTTCAACTCTTTAAATCTTGGGTTTTATGAAATTTTCCAAGTCTGAAACAGATTCTGTCCCCTATATTCAGAGAGATCCTAGTGAAAAGTATCCAAACAATTATTACTCGAGACTTTTAAGTCCAAATTAAATTAGATGGAAAACTAGTAGAATAAAACTAAAAAGATGTTGAATGACTTGTTGAGGTAATCTAGAAAATCACTTTAACCTTAGATAAATCTAACAACCTTTGGAGTTTGTTATAGATGTAACTTTTGAGGACACATTTGAGATAAGATACTTCTAAGTTGAGACAGCTGACACAACTGGGCATAAAACACTCATTTGATTGACCGGAGGATAAATAAATGAGACACGCCTTAGAAACAGTAGCAACCTCCACTGTCAAGTCACTTCTGACAGAGGGTAACTTTTCCATTGCGTTGAGATTTTAGACACATTCACACATAGCACTTTGCATCTATGTGACCGAGCACTAATTTAAAAATCAAAATTATTAATATGATAATGTAAAAGGATATTAGCCAAGGTGTTATGGGTTTTCACTGATTTATTTATTTAATAAACATTGTGAACATGCTAAAGCTTTTCGGCTCGCAGCCATCATCAGAGCATAAAGAAAGATCAAAAACACAAAACTAAAACAACTTTAAAAAACATTATGCTGGTCACAATTATCAACAAATTACCGCTGTGTGAATATCAGCATAAAGTTTGGTGTGCTGAAGTCTACATTGAGAGGTGGGGATATGAGCATGCCTGATTTATCCTCCACCAGAGCGCAGCATCTCACAACACTTTTTAAATAGTGAGTTTTGGGCTAGATCGATCTCGGTTTGTATGTTCATTAATTTAACACCCTTATTCACCGCTTTTGCAATTTCAAATCGTTCTAGGACACCTATATATCTTTTGTCTCTAGATTTATGGATAATCTCAATATTAGCATCTATAGAGTGTTTGTTTTTTTCCATGTGCTTGAAAACATTGGAAGACTCCATGGTCAAATGCTCTTTCGCTCTTATATCAACAGATCGATCTGTCAGTTGTTTTAGTTTTGTGTTTTTGACCTTTCTTTATATGCTCTGATGATGGCCGCGAGCCGAAAAGCTTTAGCACGTTTACAATGTTTATTAAATAAATAAATCAGTGAAAACACATAACACCTTGGCTAATATCCTTTTACATTATCATACTACAAATGGTGTTACTAAGCATAATGAACGATTTCATAAAATTATTAATACTCATTCTGTAATTTCTTTCGAGTTCAGCTCATTTCCACTATTTTTTTGATGATTGATTATGGAGATAGAAAAAAAAGCAAACCTTAAAACTAGCGTCCGAGCCATTTGCCTTGAAACTAGGAGTTAGACAGCTATAGTTGGTAGTGATTGGTGACATGGGTGCCGGTGGAGGAGGATAAGGAGCACAGTGCAAGTCTGCCACGACGGTGACACTTTCATTTTGCCTTTTTGGGGGTGATGGAGGTCTCCGTTTCAGTGTGCTTAAACAAATTTCCCTGTAAAAAATTGAACAGAAATAGTAGGTATAATAAATAAATTGGGAGATTTTCAGTTAGATCACTTAAAGCATGTGTTCAGCATGGTGAGCCATGCAAGTTGATTTCAGTGCTACTTCCACTTAAGATGGTTTGTTGAAGACCACAGAGTGAGAAGAATTATTGTCGCTATGACATTAGATGTGAAAGCCATTTTTAATGCATATTCTATCTGGAATAGATGTTGAGGCATGGGACTGCCTACATAATCTTATAATTTAAAAAGTAGCTACTATTTATGTTAAGTTTTGACAGTGAAGTAACTCATGCTGCAAATATCAGAAGCCTAAAAGTGAATACAAGTGATATAACTAGAGAAAGGCTTCATTTCCCACAGAGGAGGTTCCCAAACTTCATCAAGTTTTTTAAAGCATGACGATTAAAAATTGGAGAAAATAGTGCACCATAAAGAAATGCACAGTTTACGATGCATCCTTCTCATATCACATTAATTAACTAATCATGTTTGAGACAGATCTAGAGATGTACTGTCAACTGTCAACATTACATTGACAGAACAAAGGGCAATTAACTTTCCAGGTTCCTACCAAATGAAGGACAAATTTCTTGTAAATCTACACCTCCACTGTATTCAGGCAGAAAGCTTGAGAATCCTACAGATTTAAGTAACCACTGATTTTTGGAAGGAAGAATGATGGACAATCCACCTGATTCGTTTAATGGGTCAGTTGCGCTGGTCACAAAATCGTGCTATGATGCTTGATTCTTGTAGATACGCTAAAAATAATAAGATCTGTCTAAACCGCAACTTTCTCCCTTCAATAATAACTGAGATATCGCCCTTTGAAAAGTCGGGTTTTTGATGTCATCCACCGCGGCAGTGGCACCCTTGGTTTCTTCCACCATGCTTTCATCCAAGTTTACACGTTGAACAACCAGTGCAAATAGGCATCACGCTGACTGATGGAAGCAAAGTGGAAGAAACCATGGGTGCCACTACCGCGGTAGATGATAGATTTTGCCCGATACCCGACTTTCTTTTTAATCTCGATAACTATTGGACGTAGAAAGTTGCGGTTTGGACAAATCTTATTATTCTTAGCTACTCAACAAGAATCAAGCATCAAAACACGATTCTGTGACCAACGCAACTGACCCATTATGCTTTTATTGTATAAGAGAGACCTTCAAGGTCTCCTTGACAATTTTATTTCGCAACACAAAATCGAAAAACAATGAAATTGGGGCCAAAATTTGGCAGAATCTTGATACTGATAACTCCTTCCACTCATGTGACAAATAAGAAATCAAATAAAATCTACTGACGTACATATAAACGTAAGGAAAAGAGGTATAATCAAAATTATGAAGGTAACATACTCATTTCTGTACGTGGGCACAAATGTAGCAGGAATTTTGGCGATTGGTCGAGGCCTGACCAAACCTTTGGGTCGCGGAAGGGTGCCTCCACCCTCATGCATAGGAACCAAAATACTTTCATTTGTAGGTGTGATATCTCCATCGTCATAGCTCCGCCTCCAGCCAGCAGCAGGTAACTGTGTGAAACTACTTGTACCTCCACCGAGAGAGCGTTGATTGTTCATACCATCCTCCAGACTTTCCAAAGATTTACCTCGTCCTCCTCGTATCTGAACACACGAAAAAATAAAAAAGAAATAAAATCTGAACAGTGTATAAGATTACAGAGCTAAGGACTAAAGCAGATGTGACCAGCGAAGCCAAATCAAAACACTTAGAATGGACAGTGTTAAGCTGAAGGATGTTACGTACACTTGGCCTTAGATCATCATAATGGCGTGCTCTTAACTAATCTCCTCCTCTCCTCTTATTAATTCTTAAGGAATGAACGTACAAAATGACAACATCTAATCACTTCGATGTTTTCAAATTAATCACAACTGAGAGCCAGGATTCCATTTCATGCTCTAATTCTTCGATTCTTAGGATGACGGAAATATATTCAATTAAACCTATTTCAAAGGATTAGTTTTTCTCTAAAATTTTCTATACAGCTATTTTGTAAGAGAGAGGGTAGTCCTAGTCATATTGATAATTACAATAGTTTGTTTAGTTTTTACAACAGTTTTAAATGGATATTTTGCCAAAGTGATTATTGAGGAAAACATGCACGAGCAGCAACACTGATAAGGTTCATACTGGCTTGGGTGGGAAATTCTTGGGAGTAAGTTAAAAAAATATGCATACACATTTGAGATGATTTTCTCATTTATCACAGCCAAAACAACTGCGGAAATTTCATATTCATGATGGCCTATCTTGGATCTCAAGCAAGGCGTTATTAAAACTAGCAAGCTGGCGATAATGTTAAAATACTGAAAAATGGTTGCTAATTTAGTATTGATTGCAGCAGTTTATATTATGCACTAAAAGAAAGATTAAGAAAATTAAGAGACCTCTTTAAGGAGCCTCTGTGGCCATATGGACTGATACAGACAGACGTTGACAGGAACGCGACAAGTTGTATTTTAGGGAAAAAGAGTTGCGGGTAGTTTTGAATTCAATTAGTTATAAATTTTCCTCAATAAAAATTCTAATAAAATACTTTGAACATGAAAATAGTCGCTAAACTTCATCCTTAAAATTGAGTCTCACAGAGACACACATATGAAACCTCTTTCGCGGTCCATTTGACATCACTTGTTTCTTTTCTGTTAGACTCAGTCCATATGTAGACAAATATTTTAATGAAAAAGAAAATGGAAGCGAAGAATTTTTAATAGCTTCAATTTCAGTTTTGTTTAAACCTTGCAAAAACAAGTACACTTGTCTAAGTGTGAAAACAAAAGAGAAAAATTAACATCAGCACATTACCTGGATAGGAATTATGTCCGTAGTACAGTACATATTTCGAGTGGCTTCAATTTCCCACGGCTGGTGAAAACTTTTGAACGTTGTATGTACTCTTGGACATTCAATCGAACAATCTGGCATGATATTCGGCATGTTATTTGCTAACATTCCATTGCTTGGGGACTCTACCGTTGCCTAAATATAAGTGACAAAAAATAAAAGAGTGATGTATGACATGCAAAAAAAATAGGTATGCATAACAGGATTGTCGGGGGAACATCGGAATGCTCGATAAAAAAAGTGGAAAGAGAAAGACAGTTCATGCACAAGAACTAGTAGGAAAATAATAAAAATAATGTTTAAAATAAAGTGGACAGAGGGAAGGCATCCATAACAAAAAGCACTTAGAAGGCTATAAAGCTGTGATATAACATCAAGCATTCGATTCTGTAAAGAAGCTAACCAGCTATAAATAGTTTTCGCAAGTGCATCAAGTACGAATTCTGGCCATTGAAAACAAAATTCCTGATTTGCCCGAATTATTCTTTCTTTTCTTCCCTCCTATTCAATTCATTTGCACCTCGTTTTAAATAACTTAAACTAGCGTATATGAAAAAATAACTGAAAGTGTATCCTGACATGAATCACCCTCTTGGGCAAATTTCAGTAGAAAAATTAGAAGGTAAAACAGGACATAGATTTAGCTCAACACTCGATCTTCATTATTTACAAGTCTACTTGTAAGATAATAAAATGAACAAAAGGCCAATAGACAAAATCTGAACTTTAAAATGAACACCTTTTACATCTGACAGAATTTTGGGCCACATTTTGTTGTCTCCTGCACAAGGGAGCATTTCTTGTAAGAGCTGTTTTAGTGTTTCTACAAACTTTTTATTCTTTCTTAGGATGATTTTCGCACAAATTAGTCTGAGACTTTCAGAGTCTTTTTCCAGGAGGGTTAAGAAAAATCAATAGAAGTTTCAGAAAAATTCATGAGACGGTTCTGCGAGAACCAAAAAATGTAAGTAAGGAATACTGAGACAGCACAATCAAGATGCTTTCCGTCATCCAGGAGATGGAGATTTGATCAAAATGCAACATAGAGCATAGTTTCTTACAATGCCAAATATAATTTTAAGGGTTTTTTCCTCTTTCGTTTCTACCTTCTCTTCTTTCTTTTTGAAATGCAAATTGAAAAGTCACTACAAAATACAACTTCTTTTGGTAGTACATCAGAATTTTTGCAGTAATCAACTATTTCCGTCGTTCTAACTTTGAAATGATTAGGAATATCCTCAAAGTAGAAATTATCAGGGTGTAGAAATATAATCAAAATAAACATACCTGGATATGAATTGTGTTCCCGTAGATGCCTGTGTTTCCGGGTGGAAAAACTTTTCCTGCTTTGAGATCCTTTACTCGTTTGATTGCAAGCATCAACCTCTTTTGGTGGCCTAACTTGACAATGCCTATATCTTCTAGATCTTCCCACGTTAACTGAGTCACATCTTGGATTGTTTCATAACCCTGACATCCCAGCGCTGGTCCATACTCTTCCAATCGCAGCAAGCGCAACCATTCATCAAGAGAGCCCTGCCAACAAAGAATTAACGGTTACTCTTGGTATTGCCGATAGGAATTCAATTTTGAAGAAATTCATACTTCATGCAGCTTCTAAAGTAGATTTTATGGCGCTTCTTTTAAAAATTTTCAAGCACTTTCCCTAACCTGCCTAGCAACTCTTTTTAAAATGCGTAGTTTTCACCCTGCATGTCTTAAGAGGTCGGAATTGGCGATTTTTAGTTCTCTATGAAGGTCGAACGTGACTGCCTCCGTAATTGAGATGTCATCACAAACAAGCTAATTAACGTCAAATGCTTTATTATTTCTCAAGAAAGATTATTTAACGGAGAAAATTGGTAAATTGTACAATTCAAGCATGTTGACGTTCAAAAAAATCAGGCATTTTCAAGGCCCTGAAATTTTTTTTTCAAAATTAAGCTTCTTCCAAGACCACATGAGCAATGGAAGTTAGGGGAATTCATGAATATTGAAAATGGAAAACTTATTAAATTTAGGCGTTGATTCATCAGATGATTAAATTTGAACATTAAATGGAAGCGCTTCTCCTTGTGGCGTGAATGGGCATGACTTTGCCTACAGATTGAATAAATGTGTTTACTAGAGGAGGCATTTATCTGTACTTGTCAATAACAAAAAGTAAGTTTTCATTCACGTTGCTTGGAGTTATGATTATCGAATTAGATAATTCAAACTTACAGGAATATAATCGGGCAATCCGTCGGAAATGGTTAACTGAGCAATTTCAGCTTTCAATTTCTTCCTGTGGTTTGGTTTTTTGATTCCGATGGCAGTTAAATCCTGGAATATAAAAATAAGAAAATTTAAACACACATAAATTTTTAACATACATTTTAGAGAGAGAGTTTGGGTAGAGGGAAAGTTGTGATTTCCCTAACTTTTCCATGCCAAATTAAAATTTTTCCCGACTTTTTCCATGGATCAACCTCATAGTCTTTCTTCTGAATTAGGTGCAGTATGCACTTTTTGCGATTTTTGTTAAAACCTGTATTACAGCTCATTGATCAAATTCAAGTTTACCGTAAAATAATTTCGGCCAAGAGTGTTTCATTGCATGAATCGAATAGTGACAAGATGTAATACTGAGTGTTAGAGAGAATTTTGAAGAATAATCAAGCTTTTCCCCAATTTTGAGGTGAATTTGGTCGAACTATTTCCTTCTTATGAATTCCACTTTATAGCGCCTCGTATTCAGATATGGAAGAAACATTGGAAAATCGTGATCTCATTGTTTTTTCTTTTTTAAATTTTGAGTTCGTTGAAAATTCTTAGACTTTTTACTTAGTATGAGCAAATTCTCTGGATTTTCAAAAATTTCAAGCTTTTTCCCCCTGACGATTCCAGGTTTTTCAGATAGCTTGGAGCCCTGACTATCGTCTCTACCCTGAGACACGCCATACCAAACAATCGTTTTCCCTTCCAGTCCACCCAATAGTGGAACAAGGAACTAGAAGAGGTCGAACATGCAATATTTGGCTAAAATTTCAAATTTTGATGTTTATTTCGTCGCAAATTCAATCTCAAGGGGTGAACCTAGAGGGAAATTTTACGAAAAAACCAATGATACCACTCTTAAACTATTTTAATTCATATTTTCAAAAATACAAACTTCCAAAGTTTCTAGATTTTGGCCAACTTCTACTAGTGACGCAATCCACTGTGCGCCCCTGTCTCGGGACAAAACGAGAAGAAATTGCCAGCTTTCAGCACAAATCCGTGATTTTCCGCGTCGCAATTCATCCCCTGCAGGCTGATTATTGAAATTGATAGACAAAGTTATGGACAAGAAGGACATAGGGAGTATGGAGCGATATAATTGGTTACAATGTGTGGTTCCAATAGACTAAGGGAGACTAACTCTCGGGTCTCTCATGGGTTGCTGTTAGTTAGTCTATTACCTACTGCCTTTGTCCATTGCAACCACCCGCTTCCACCATTACGATCCCTCCATATCCCTTTTGTCTTCTTTGTCTTGGCTTTGTCTATCAATTTCAATAATCGGCCTGCTGGAGTTTTCCAGTTTTTCCAGATTCCATGGTATGCGCTTACCTCCGGCGTCATCCTGGAGATGGTGCTCATGTCGTAGCCGGCGGCGATGAAGAGAGGGAAGTACTCCTCGAAGTGGAGGTCCATGAGCCAGCTGTGGAGGACGTCGTGATCGGGGACGCCCTGCATGAGGAGGCGTTCGACGCGGGCGCTGGCCCCGGACTCGGTGGAGCCGACCGAGGAGGAGGAGATGGAGCAGCGGGGGTGGTGCAGGGACCCCGAACCCGGTCCAGTGAGGTGGCTCCCCGAGGAGGAGGCCCGGCCGCTGTCCAAACTGGCCGTCGAGTGCCGCGAACCAGAGGATCCAGGGCTGTCCCTTCCGGGACTCTGTCGAAAACAAAAACGCACATTAGACATGAGATAACTTACAATGGAGATGTTGCATGCGTGAGGGATTTGCGATTTGACCATTGATTCTTATGTGAAAGTTCGCGAGAAACACGATAGTGCCACTGGTTTTCTCTGAAATCATCTCCCAAGCTCAAAAAAAGCTCTCAAAGTGAGGCCAAAATGGAGGGGATATCCCACTCTACCCTGAGAGTCCACCTCTACATCAAAACAAACTCTTCATGCAAAGATAGGAAGCAAATACATTAGCAGGGTTGCCGTGTTTTCAGTTTTGGAGTCCCCAAATAAAGTGGCAACCCTGCCAATGTATTTCCTCCCTATCTTTGCATGGAGAGTTTGTTTTGATGTAGAGGTGGACTCTCAGGGTAGGGTGGGATATCCCCTCCATTTTGGCCTCAACTTGAGAGCTTTTTTTGAGCTTGGGAGTTGATTTCAGAGAAAACCAGTGGCACCATCGTGTTTCTCGCGAACTTTTACATAAGAACCAATGGTAAAATTGCAAATCCCTCACACATGCAACATCTCCATTAGATGTAGCTGAACAGGTGTATAAGATGATTAAGCAGTGGCGGATCCAGAATGAGCTGGAGGGGGGGGGGATTCGCTGATGTCGAGTAGGGGTCCGGGGGGATACCCTCAAAGCAAGGGGGTTCGGGAATTCTCCCCCGGAAATTTTTTTTAAAAAATAGCCCCTCCAAAATTGAGGCACTGGATGCGAAAAGGGCACTTCTCGATTGCGGTGTTTCAGAATCTCTGTTGCAAATTAATCCCTCGACGAAGACTTAAATGGGTGATTTTTCCAGAATTCTTTCCATGTAAAATTGTAGAATCATAAGGAATATTCAGTAAAATTTTCAGTGAGTTGGATGCATTCACTTTCCTTACAATGAATGAAATATTGGAGGAGACTCTGAAACACTACAACCGAGAAGTGATCTTTTCGCGTTCAGTGCCTCGATTGGATTCTAAGCAGTTTTAGCATACAATTTTTTCATTATTTTAAAGTTGAGAATTGATGAAGAATACCTCTTTTAGAGAAATTTTATTTTGATAAATGACGTACTCATGTCTGCGGTATCGAGTAACCTTTGGTTTAGTAAATGGACCAATAGACAAGGCACGAATTTCAGCATTCTGATAAATGTTTCTTCACCAAAATTTCACTTAAAATACGATGCGCACAACGAATATTACCGAAATCAACTCCTGCCGATGATATCAATGATTCTTGGTGCGTGAATTCAAACCACCCGCTCATGAAAACTCAATGCTCTACGTGATTCACATCGCTCGTAAACGTTATCATGAACGTCTCTGCGATAAAAAAAACCTGGCAACCTCAATCTTGACACTTAGGCTCAGCTATAGCAAATTATTTATAGTTTGCAAAAAACATGGTGGAAAATGAACATTGCTCGATTGAGAAGATTGCTGAAACCGTTGTAGTGCGCGATTTGACTCACGTAGAGCTTTGAGTTTCTTGTGAGCGGGCAGTTCAAATTCCTCGAAACCAATGTAAAATAAAAATGTTAATAGCTTCGTTAGGAGTTGGTTTCAGTAATTTTCGTTGCGGGAATCGTGTTCTACGTGAAGTTCTGGTTAAGATACATGTATCAGAATGCTTAAATTCGTACCTTGTCTAGTGGTCCATTAGGTTAAATAGTTCTGAAGTTCTGTCTTGACACCTGAGTTCGTATTTTTCATGAAAAATAAAATTTTGAAATTTCAGCTGAAATTTCAGTTGAAATTTCATGAAATTTCAAGCTTTTTTTGAAAAATTGATTTTTGATACTATAATCGGTAAACCTGTACCCTTTACACTAGTGAAAAGTGCTTCCTAGGCAAATTAATCACAGAACCATACTAATAAATACTTAAAAGTTTCATCTGAATGCGAAAAAACGAAGAAACAACTAAGAATAAAGGAGAGGGTGAACTCCCAGACTCGCCAGACTCGAGACTGAAGCATAGAATGAAGAGACTATTTAATCTATGAGTGAGGAATCCATGAATGAATGACTACTGTGTTCCATTGTGACACCTATCTCTTTTCTCTAGAGAAACAAATAGTTGATTAAGGAAAGCTTACTCGTCCTATGCTATTCTATCAAAGCAAAGCACCTGATTGGCTCATTTAAATTTTGCCGCTCTCAAGAAGAATTAGAATTTGAATGAGTCGATCAGGGTTTGATTTGCTATATTTAAGTAAGTGTAAAAACTTAGACTGAGAGATTTTATTCACATTTTAATGAATGAGAAAGGTGAGAGGACTTTTTCAAAAATTGAAAATAAATTATTACAAATGAAACTGTTTTTTTGCTGCAATTTTCAAGTCAGATTTATTTTTTTCCTTAATGCCATGTGCTTCCCGATTTTTGGCTGAGTTTTTTTGTCGTAAATCAAAAATGCTACTCTGCATTTTTATCCGTGTCTGTGATTGCAAATGTTTTTCATTAATGTTATGTGAATAATATATTTTTCATCTTAGGTAACATACGGAAGTTCTTTAGGCTGTTCTGAATTCTTTGTATTTTATCTTTGTATTTTCCCATGAAGGAAACAAAACAATAACGCACAATTAAATTATGAAAAAATATCACAGTATTCACAGATCACAGCACAGCTACAAAACAAACAGCACGGTTTTGTTAATTTTTGAGGTTATGTCTGGAACCGGTAGTGCATGGTGAGGTGAGGGGAGCGGAAGTGGCGCAAGGATTATGGCGGAGTAACCTAACTAACACCAAAATACACTTCACACGACTTAATATTCATCCAAATTTCCCCAGAGAGGTTCAACTTACACTAATTCATGTGCTAAGTCTTATTTGTGTATTTTTGGTATCAAATATTCAATTTTTCAAAAAAATTGAAAAATAAAAGGCCTTTTGAAATTTCAGTGAAATTTCACGTGAAATTTCAGTGAAAAATACGCTTGAAATTTCAAGGGCGAACTCAGCTTGACACCATTTCATTATGGCATACGTAATATAAAAATACAGATTTTAATAACATTTGGAGAGAGTTTTAAGGCTCCAATGCAAAAGTCCCTCACTGTCCCAAGTGTTAAATACTTAACAAACCTTTGTCTCGCTGTAAGTATGATGGGCTTGTGAAATACAACCAGACACATTCAGAAAATTGCTGCTATTAAAAATGCCGCAACAGAAATTCTCATTGAAACAACTAGTAGTCTTTTAAAAGCGACTAGCCGTCTCTTTGAAATGCTGCTTAAAACAAGAAGATTTCCTGTTATTTTTACGAGAAATTCCTATCGTAACGTCATGCCATGAATAATAATAATTGACAGGACTTCCTGTTTCTCAACGAGGATATACAGGGATACCTCTCTATATTTTTTTTAGTGAAGCAAGTTGAATTTTATACCTGTGTCATATCGATGCCTTGATCTTCTTGGAGTGCGAGCTGGTGGTAGTGGGCGGTGGCTTTGGCTGCGTTGATGTGGATGTAGGGTTGACCCGGGAACGTGAACTGGGGGTAGCTGAACTGAGATCCGGGAGATTTCCCCGGTGGTCCGTAACAGTCCGTCATATCGTAGCCGTCTGCAAAAAAAACATGAAATTTTAGCATCGTCAGAATGATCCGCCTAATCATAATTTAATACATTCCTACTGTGCTTCAGTATCGGAACTGTTTACAATTCCAAAAAAATTCAGTATACTGAAAAAAAAGTTACGGGCTATATAGACACACCGTTCGTCCCGGGCTCAAAAGCCGAAATGTTCCGGGTGCTGGAGCCGTATCTTCGACTGCTCCGGGTGCTAAGCCCGTAACTTTCGGCCTCTGAGCCCGGAACGCGGACGGTATGTCTACATAGCCCGTAAGTACGGCTTTGATGGCCGCAGTTTTTTTTCAGGGTATAAACTGTTGCAAGATCCGGGTACTGCCAGGAAAAGGGCATTTCCGAGGTCAACTTTAGCGAGAGTCGCATTTCCAAGATTTGAAAGGCTCAAAACTGCAATTTTGACTAAAATAAAGATGCTTACACCTAAGATTTCAAAAATAGGATTTCTTAGTGGCCTGCAGCTTATGACGTCATAGAAGGCGGCGGCCCTTAAACGACGTATGGTTACAACCACCTTAAATCAAATCCAACGCCGTTTGAAACGGGGACGGATAGACTGCTACTTTTTACTTTTGTAACGAGCCAATATTTTTGATCCGTATGACAGTTACTCGGGTCACTATCAACATCATTATACGTTCGCTGCCCACCTAAATTATCATTTTTTGTCAAAGTTCGTTCGAGCGTCCAACAGAGCCGATTTCCATGATTTTGCAGCTATCAACAAGTGATAGATCCTACACGAGCCCGATCTTTTCGAATGGGAACTAAACCCCTGGGGACCCGCGAAGCACCCTAAGGGGGTTGGCTGCGTATCGGCCAAAGGGTGTAGCACCCTAGCTCCTCTGATATGCCCAATCCCACTTTCATTTTGATATTTTGCCTGATTTTAGCTAGAAAATTATCGGCATATCGCAAAACGACTGTGCGGTAATTCGTTCGGTTTTCAACAAGGATAAGAATACAGGAGGCAGTGGGAGGTCCTCCTAGAACAGGAGCGAGCCACTTTTTAACGCAGAGTGAGCACGCGTAATAGCTAAAAGTTGTAAACCGAGGTTTCATCTTCCGGGAGGAGAGCGGGAGGGGCCTCAAAGCCGGACCGTCGACGAAAATTGAAACTCCTCGGAAGGCCATTTACATCACCGAGGTTCCTATCCAAAATTTCCGGAGGCAAATGGCGATCGGGCAACGTTCCGAAAGATGAAGGAAGAGAGACTCCGCCGTGCCAAGGAAGAACGCCGTATGAACCATTAAGCGTTGCCAAATTTGCTTCGAACTATTACGAATTTTCAGGGAAATGTGTGATTTATCTTCAGATTTTTCAAAGGATTTCGTTCGTAATTCGATCTCAGGATGTCCACTAAAACAGGCTGGCCAAAAGTCAGTACTTTTACGGTACTTTTTCAGTACATTCCCAAGGAATTCAGTACCTCCTCGACGGAATAATTCAGTACTATTTCAGTACCTTCATTTTACGAAATTCGAGACAATTTTAATATTTCAATTTCTCGCTTTAATTGCGACAAAAAAGAAAAAATGAAAAAAAATTCCGGACCTCCTTACGAAATTTCTGCACTTTTTCAGTGCTTCCGGACCGCCCTTAAAAATCAGAACTACTTCCGGACTTTCCGGACTTGTAGACACCCTGCGATCTAAAAAGTCTGAAAATTTAAAAGAAATATAATCATGGCTTTCCTCAAATATAAATACTTTCTGAGAGGAAATTTGGCAATATTCGAATGTTCATACGGCGTTTTTACTTAGCACGGCAGGACTGGCGCAGGAGAGGTGCTCGGCCCAGACGACGTGATATTTATGCGTGCGAGCACAAGCGCAGCCAAACCGTTAAGCGCCAAATCCGATAAATCACGAAAAAGCAGCGTGCATCTGTTTAGTGTTGCTTCACGAATCATTACGAGGCGAGGACTGACGCGCGAGGGAGGGCTCAAGAGCGCGCATGAGTTCGCGTGGGGGGGGGGAGGCACGAGGGAGGTAGATGGGAGGGAGGAGGGGGAATATATAGAAGTAAGAGCACAGGCACATGCAAATGGACCCGGTCTAAAAAGCGGAATGATTTTGAGGACTTTCAAATCTACCGCCGAAAACGGTTGCCGAAAATTTTAGCCGCCCCCCCCCACACCCACCCTCCTTCAGGGAGAATTGGGGGATGCCTGGCTTGAAGTGAGAAACCATCATGATCGATCATTTTAGAAGTGCGCATATGTAGGTGTGTAGGTGGATTACCGCACGGCTTAAAATCGTTCTTTAAAACGAATGGGGGATGGCCCTCGCCCCCCACCTCACCACAACCATACATTTTCTTGGGGTGGAAAGGTTGATGGGAGGTTTTAAATGATTTATGGAAAATGAGCTGTTCCCTACACGGTTAATGTAAATTTTCCAAGATATGGGATGCATGCTTGTTTTCCAAAAGTCCTGGTAATGTGAGTGCATTGTCACCATAACAAACGCTGTCCCAGTAAATTGCATTAATTCCACACATCAAAAAAAAAAGGTTGAAAGAAATGGCTTTTTTCAGTACGATTTGGCGACGCGCCGTTAGGGAGGACGCTCAGATTTCGCGGCCTTTTAACAGAGGGGCGCGGGAGGACAGAAAAAATGGGATAGGGGTGGATGAGGGAGTCAAGAATTCAGGATGGGGGTTGGTTGCTTTCCTCCTTCGGTGACCAGAATGACTCAACACTAGATGTCTCCAACCAACACATGAATCCCATTGCTGGTCCCTAATTTTTAAGCGGGATTCTTAAGGGTCTTTTTCCTGCCTTCAATCGAGTGGAATATCTCCCTCGATAACATGTGTTCGGAACTTTGAAATTACTTACTCATTTATTGAATTTTTTATACTTATATTTTTATTGCTCGTAAGAAAATGTACGTAATGCACAATACTAGATGGCGATGCTCTCATGCATCCTGAGGCCAACATTTTAAGACTTTCCAGGGTGTCTAGTATTTTTTAATTTGGAAAAATCCTGATATTTTCCTGATACTTTGTAAAAATTCCTGATTTTTCATTTTGAAAATTCCTGATATTATCCTGATTTTTCTCGATTCCTGGCACAATAGGCAAAAAGCAGGAAGACTTTCTCCGTTGAGGAGATTCGCGTAAGAAAAATTCCTGATAAGACGTCCGATTTTTCCGATTTTCCTGATATTTTCCTACTTTTTTGGCCTGATCGGCCAAAATTCCTGATATTTTCCGGTTTTTCCTGATGCTAGACGACCTGCTTTCTGAAAATGCGATCAGACTCGTATAAGCCGGGATGCTGTCGCACCGCGAGACGACTTTTTAAAATTCCGGATTTTCTGGGGGTTCCCGGAGTCTAAATACCGAATTTAGATAGGTCCTAATCCCGAAATTTTTGGCGACATGGGGCCCTTGAATTTTAAGATTTGAGGCCCCCGATGACCCGCCGGTCATGTCCTCGATGAACACTACATTGTATAAATGACCTACGCACGGGGATACCAATGCATTCGAAGAGCATTCAAGCAAGATTCAAAAGCAGGAAATTTTAAGGGCTGCATAGTAGAGTGGCGTCATTGGGCTCGTTTCGTTACGGAACAAAGGGATGAAAAAAGAACCGGCAACATTGACCCATTTACAGAGACACCTACTCGAAGGGGGATACTGTTTCAACATTAACGATCATGTGAATCGGAGAACGATACAAATGATGGACTACGACAGAGGCGGGGGCGGAGGGGTGGCAGGGAGACGAGTAAAAGGACCGCGTCGAGACGGGGAAACGGAAACCACATGACGATCCTTTTAGTGTTCCTCAAACCCTTGGGAGAAAAAAATCCACCGTGGCCTTTTCAACGGCTTTCGTGCCATGCGAGTGTTGTCTTTTTTCAAAAATTGGGTCTCTGCCGACTTGGGGACTTTCAATCATTGGTTCGTCTTCCGTTTTATTTAGGTTCTTTCGAGATTTGTACAAATTAGAGTATTTTATCTGGGTTGAATGTGTCTGAAACTATCAAAAAGTTTCATGGACTAGTTACAATTATAAAATAGCTTATTGCAAGACTTTTTTTCCAAATTCTAAAGGAATTGCAGCAATAAGTTCTTGAGGTGCTTACACGTCAGATACGCACATTTTGTAAGCTGTTTGTAAGATATCTTGTTTTTCCCAAGGTTGGGCCGTAAAGAAGATAGATAACAAATTATTTGACTTGAGTATTAGAAGCAGAAAATGGCTCGAAAATCACGATGAGCACATCAGAAAAGTCTGAAATATACTCCGAACTTTACAATCTACGTAAGAAATGTGTTTCTTAAGCTGCCCGCTTCGTTACGTTCGTTGCAGGTGAACATTTCGCAATAGGATGCTACGCAATTTTCAACACGGCCAATGTTTCAGACTTTCTCGATGCGCTCATTGTGATTTTTGAGTCATTCCCTATAGGCAATGACTTTTCTTCTTCCTCTGGATGAAGTTTGCAAAAGGCTCATTTGAATCACCTTCTGGAGAACACGATAAATAAGGTCATCTACAAAGTTAGCGTACACCAAGATTTCTCGCAGGTTGGTTTTGACAGCAATGCACGCAAGGTAAGAAAACCCAGGGTTGCCACAGAATTTGGACAATAAAATTCCCCGACAATTGAAGATATGGCAGATAGTTAATAATTAAAATAGTTTTCAGGCAAAATTTGTTGTTCGGAACCTGAAACCCATACTAGAAAGCAAATAAATGTGATTTAACAAATTTTCCCGGTTTTCCCTGACTTCATAAAATTCCATGACTTTTAAAAATTCCCTGACAAATATAGGTAAAGTTTCCTGGCAATTGAAAATATGACAGATGGTTAAGAAGACATAATTGAAAATAGTTTTCAGGCAAACTTTGTTGTTCGAAACCTGGAACCCATTCTACAAAGCAAATGAAGGTGATTTACTTCACGAAGTTTCCTTGGCATTTTCATCGTTTTCCCTGACACTTCCTCCAACTTTCCCTGGCAATTCCCTGACACAATTTTCCCTGACGTCCCCCGGTATTTCCTGACTATGGCAACCCTGAAAACCATAAATTATGCAAACTAACATGGTAGATACCCGCCACCATGGTTTTAAAAGGCGTCTCATCTATTGAAAACTAAGTGTGAGAACTCGGCGCTCCGATGGACTGTACCACCAAAATGATCGATGCGATCGATCGACGATCAGCTCGTTTACTAGAGATCCAATTTAAAATCTTTCGGTAAAACCGGGGAAACTTGAGGGAAATATTTAGAAGATTAATAGCCCCAGATTGCGTAAGACCGCACGTGATCTTGAGTCCATATGCGCCGGAAGGGGGAGCCAAAGACCGCGAGCACACGCGTCGGAGAAAGTGAAAAAAGAGTTTCTCATCAATGGTGTCGTAAACGGCTTCAAGTTGCCTATTCTGAGGATTAAACTACTGGTTCAACGTCAGCTTCTCGGGAAAATTATGACGGATTTCCTACGGAGGGCAGCCATGGCCGACTAGATCCTTTAATGCAGTCGCGCCGTCGGGTACCACGCCGGAAATTGTTCCGGATACGGAGTCGAGACAACAAAGTGTCTCGAAAAACTGGTGCTCTAGGGGGCGCTGTTATCGCCATCGCACCCCACACCACAGTGGAAGGAACTGTTAAGCGAGTGCGGACACGAAGTTTTACACTAAAATGGGACGTTTTTATAGTTAAGATAGGCCTTGTCTCCACGGGACGTTTTCATGGGATTTGTCCCAAGTTCGAATCGCAGGAATGAAACTTCTGGGATTTTTCCCAGGTACCGTCTCCACGGGCTCATACAGTCCTGCGACTGGTTTGCGCGGGAAGATAAATACTTAAAGTCGAGTACTTAAGCGGGTTTAAAATATAATTGCACTCAATTCACAATCAGACACATTATTTTAACTAAACAAACATTAACAATGGAGTAATGAATGAAATAGTGCACAATTCGTTTACACTTCTTCCTCTCTCAGTGGGTCCTAGGGGTACAAGGACCATACTTGGTACTTGGCACCAACTTCGTAAGTGAGATTTTTCCCAGGGACAAATCACGTAAAATATCCCACGAAGACAAGGCCTTATTAACAACTGTTCAGAGAGCGCAGGCACGGAATTTTCACTAAAATTTGAAGTTTTTAGGGTTAAGTTATGAACTTAAAGGGGTGCTCCTTGATCAGGGTGGCAAGTTAGCTTGGATTTCAAAATTCCCTTACTTTACCATGACTTTTTAATTGTTATTTTGACACAAATTCTCGTGAAAATGCTTTTGACGAAAACATTTTGGTGCAAAGTCTCTTGAAATTGGAAAAAAAAAAAAATTCAAAATTCGTAAGACTGAAAGCAGATGCCGCGCTTGAGAATAATTCTATGATTGGATAATTCCAATTTTCGCCGACAGAGTGTGTGAATGCGATAGAAATCAATTCAATTTTCAGGAAGTTAAGAAGAGGGTTTAAGTTCAGCGGCGAAAGACCCTGAGCCCAGAATTTTCAGAGTTAAGCAAAATTCCCTTAATTTACCAAGATTTCAATGATTATTAAATAACTTATCACCCTACGGGTAGAAATTTTTCGAAAAACTAAATGAAAACACTTTCCAAACACTACATTTCGTGCAGACAAAGATCGAAGTCTTTCAAAGTTTCGACATTACACTATATTCGACCTCTCTCGTCGACTCGCCCTACTGTGCGCCGCCGCGGATCATCTGCGCACCAAAAGGCGGCCGCTCCACTGAATGAAAGAAAGACTAGACCGCGCGTAATTGATATTTTATTAACGCGCACTCACGGGCACAAAAAAATGGAGAGGGAAGAAAAAAAAAAGAAAAAAAAACCGAGCGGAAGGAATGATTATGAGAACGGTGACACGCGAGATGTGGAACAGGAGCCCCCCCCCCCCCCGGGTCTATCGCCTACGCCCGTGGAACAGAACCGACGACGACCGGCTCCGATCGGTTCGGAAATATGCGGAGGATTGTTCCATGGAGAAAGTTCAACTGTCATGTTGCGTTGCACTCTTTGGAAGACTTAAAAATGATCGGAAAATATTATGTAAGTGAGAGGCGAGGTGCACTCGGAACTGGAAAAACAACTGCAACAGTGCAACTGGATCAGAGAATACGTTTCAGACACCTCGCAATCCTATCTTGTTCATTAAGCCTTGTCTCCACGGGATGTTTCACGGGATTTGTCCCTGGGAAAAATCCCACTTACGAAGTTCGGAAAAATATTGAGTTAATCTACATTTTTCCCAGTACCAAGTATGGTCCTTGTACCCCTGGGATCCACTGAGAGAGGAAGAAGAAGTGAAAACTAATTGTGCGATATTTTACTCATTACTACATTATTAATGTTTGTTTAGTTAAAAAAATGTGTCTGATTGTCAATTGAGTGCAATTATTATTTTAATCCCGGTTAAATACTCGACTTCAGGTAATTTATTTTCCCGCGCAAACTAGTCGCAGGACTGTAAGGAGCCCCGTCCCGTGGAGACGTTAACATACTTTTCCCTGCCTTTCCAAGGTTGGCCAAAATCCCCTGACTCATGAACTCATGAATGGCTGCAAAAGCTGAATGACGCAATTAACTCTTGAATACTGCCGTGCTAAGGAAGAACGCCGTATGAACATTCGAGAAATGCCAAATTTCCTACAGTAAAATGTTTATATTTGAGGGAAGTTGTTAATATTTTTCCTTGGAATTTTCAGGAACTTAAGGTGATACTGCAAACAACATTTTCTAAAAAAATTGGAAGACAAATATTCATAATTTTACCAGGAAATTCTGGTTTAATAAATGGAAATTGGGCAACGCCTGAAGGTTCACACGGAGTTTTTCTTCAGCACGGAAGAATACCACTATTTCGACTCCTGGGAGTCCGCGTTGCATACGTTTTAAAATGGAGGCGAATGCGATAGATCCACATTTCGAAACTCGAGTTTCACTTTTTATGCTTTCTTGGCACTGCTTTTCCATTATTTGGACTGCATTTTGCGATTTGGAACTATAAATTCTGGCTAATCTGAAAAAACACTTATCTACATAGGGAAACTAATGGCACATACGTTGTTTTTAAACCGGGCCAGAATTTATAGTTCCAAATTTCAAAATGCAGTCTATTTCATCTTATGAAGTTTAACTATTCGACGGATGGGCTTACCTCGGACGGGCGCGTCGTGGAAGACGGGTTCCTCGCCGGCGCTGCCGTAGCCGGCCGAGCCGAAGCTGCTTCCGGAATGCCTGAACGCCGTCTCGGGCACCTGCGGCGGCGCCACCTTCTTCATCTGCGCCCCCGCTTTCGGCTGCCGATTCATCCCTCCGACTGGAACAACAAACAATAATCATAAATTTCAACTTTCACACCAATTATAAATAACGACACTTACAACAAATTTTCGTATAATTTCGTAATTAAGTCCGGAAATGGTACTGATTTTTTAAGGGCGGTCCGGAACTTCTTGGCTTCGATCCCTGCAACATGGTGTGGACCCAGCACCTTGTTTATATTACTTTATTTTTATTCAACCTTTTTTTCTTTTAAAAAGAAAGGGGGTAGGGAAATAAAATCACTGTACAATAAGAAGACAGGCACGGATTCTTGTTTGTATTGAAAAGAGAAATGTTTAAAAGTACCTATTTATACCATTCTATTAAAGGACCGGACAGTTGTAGTTTTGCACGAAAAAGTAAAAAAAAAGAAAATTTAAAAAATTGGCAAAAATTACTTTGTTTGGCTTTTCGAACATGGAAATGAAAAAAAGGTTGAATAGAGACCAACTTCAAGGATTTAAATCACTCACATTGAATTATAAAAGGACCTAAAAGTTGCATTCCGCACGGAAAAGTAAATCAAGAAAATTTAGCAATTTTTGCCCAAAATCACTTTTTTGGCTTTTTGGTAATGAGATGAAAATTAATTTGCATCCTTTTTCAAAAAGTGTACAACATAAGCGGCTTTTCATAAAGACAAACATCGATCTTTCCTATCGGAAAAACTTAGGAATGGCTGCGTAAAGCTAAATGAAGCAATAACGCATGGGGATACCACTATTTCGACACCTCAGAGCCCGTGTTGCATAATTTTCAAATTGAAGGCGAAACGTCACGGCTACTACTCCTGAACAACGAGAAAAAAACTTTCGAGCAGGAGGAAAAATTAGCTCTGACCGACTAAAGACTCAGTCGCTACGCAATACCTGTTAGAGGCATCACTCAGAAAAATAAGCCAATCTTAATATTTAATTTGAAAAATAGAATGAAATTGTGAATCAACCACTGTACTAATTGCGAGGGGCGTTGGTTCATTTGAAAGGTGTTGTTCTCAATGCTTCGGGAAAACTATAAATTATTTTCTGGGGTTCGTCCCCGATTTTTAAATCCCTAAAAACTCATAAATTGGATGAGGGGAAGTGGGGNACGTCAAATAACAAACGCAACACGAGAAAATAAATTTAATTCAATACACGCTTGAACTCGAATCATTTTGAAACGAACCCGTTGTCACCGTAATAGTTTCTTCAAACTTAAAATCCCCGGTTTCGCCTTTCGCAATAAGGTGGCAAGTAGGCTCGCAATCAGTGCGCATGCAGCAGAGATGATTTCAATCACGTCTCAAACTCCCGACGACCTTTGCGGACCATTTAGGTGTGGGACTGATACTGAAGCCCACCGTTTCCAAGCTCCAAGTACAGTGGTGGCGAGGTCAGTAAGCTACGCTCCAGCGGATAAAAACGGCGGTCATAATAAAGGCCGTTTCGTGTTGGGCGGCTACTGAATGAGCAGGAACGAAGTACTGGTGCATTCCGTAAAGACGGACTTTTTCATCATCATCATTGAGTATCATTTCCAGGGAATTCCGTAAAATGAAGTCAACTAAAGCGGAAAGATTGCAAATCTTTCGGTCAATGTAGGTACGTGCACCAGCGTGCTGAGTCACAAGCAACGTATAAAATGCGCCTAACAGTTAGACTTTGGAGCTCCTTAAAAAAAAAAAAAAAAAAAAAAAAAAAAAAAAAAAAAAAAAAAAGAAAGAAAGAAAGAAAGAAAAAAAACAATTTGTTTTGACTTTTGGCTAACTCGAGTGGCAAACTCCAAATTTTCTTGGCTTTAACAGTATGTCTACTAAAATTTCATTTTGGATTTTCCTGATAGTTTGCGTGAAAGTTCTAATGTTTTGCGCGAACAAATTGACACTTAAGTTAGATTTTACAGACCAACATTTTAAAACAATTGAATAAAATGTTTCATTTCTGTATGTGCTAGCTGCACATAGTTGAAAATTGATTGCTCAGTCCTAATTTCCTGTCAGGGTGTCTACTAAAACAGGCTGATCAAAAATCAGTACATTTACAGTACATTTTATAGTACACTTTCAGTACTTTCCCTAGAAATTCAGTACTTTTTCAGTACCTCTGTTTGACGAAATTCGAAAAATATAAAAAAAAATTGTATTTCTCGCTCAGAAATGAAAAAAATTCCGGACCTCCTTGCAGGATTTCCGCACTTTCTCAGTTCTTCCGGACCGCCCATTAAAAAATCAGTAATATTTCCAGACTAATAGATACCCAGCAGTGATTCATAACCAATTTTCCTGACATTCTCCTGATATTTTCCTGATGACATCCAATTTCATGATATTTTTCGGTTCAGGTTGATACTGGCATCAGACACACTGTTTTAGTAGCTGAGTGAAGTTGCTTAAACTTTCAAGAAAAAAAATTGCCATCCTGCGATAAAATCAGTCAGATTTGGTCCGGTCTAACTGCCCTTTTACCGAAGCTTGATTTGTTACCCGAGAGCATAAATCGGCTGCGAGAAAGTAGATTTCCAGCGTTGACTATGATGTGCCAGGACTCCCACTTGTCCCCGCCGAGGAGGAGAAAAGCAAACGCTTGCTGGGCACGTCAACTAAAAACTCGGAAATTATGTGTGTAATGATAATGTTAAATAAAGGTATTTGTCTTCACGTGTACGATTTGCGGCTGCTGTGCTAGGTGCAGCTTAAGTTTACTGGACGTATTTATGGCGGGTTCCGGGCCACTGAGACCTTTGCGAGATCATAAATAAGGATTGCCTTCTTACGACTCCTCTGGAATGGCGCTTCGAGATAGCACGGCGACGCACAGATGCCATTCCGATGAGGAACTCCGCTCTGATGTAACAGGTTGCGCTTCGGCCTTTGAGGAGAGTCTACATCGGAAGTGGAAATAACATCAATAAGCCGCATGAATTTTTCAAAACTTTGCAAAAATTGGCTTTGATTTCAGTTCTTAGCGAGGGAAAGAGGAGAAATAGCGTGGAAGCACATTTTCCATACATCCGAAAATCATCCTCAGAGGCCCTTGCACGGAGGAAAAAACTTCATGCGTGGGACCCGAAGTTGAGGTCATATGGATCTCTGAAGTTTTCGGATCACGTATCTAAAAACTTGAGGTGCAGCTGCCGAAGTTCGGGTTAGACATCGAGGCAATTTGGTATGTACCGGAGAACTTCAGATGTGTGACCCGAACCCTTCGGTACATATCGAAGTACTTCAGATGTCTGACCCGAACTCCGGCAACTGGACCTCAAGTTTTTAGATACGTGATCCGAAAACTTCAAAGATCCATGTGACCTCAAATTCGAGTCCCACGCACGAAGTATTTTTCTGTGTGCGTACACTAGAAAAGGTACAAGCTGAAAGCCTCCGTGAAATGATATTTCTGCAAGATTTTGCGTAAAATTTGATTCACACGAGGCGAAGTTTGGTAATCCACCCCATAAGAAAAAATAAGTCTTTGGTTATGAACATTAGTTAAACGTTGTAATTACGAATGACGTGTGATTGTGTGATATGTGTTCCATTTGATCAATGTTATTAAGTGTAGACATGTTGAACTGATGATGTCCCGCTTCGGAGTTGATTTCCAAAATTTCCGTTGCGTTACTCGTTTCCTACGTAAAATTTTAAAGAGGTAATATGAAACGTGGTGCTTTAAGAAGTGAATCCGGACACAAAAAAGATATTGCTTCATCTAAGGGTGCTCAGTGAGCCAATTTCGCAGTAATTATTCAAATTTTGTTTTAAACCGGAAAATGTAGAAAAATATATTTTAAAGTAAGAAAATTCATCCCCTTCTGATGTCATTAGTGGGCATTTTCTTGCATGGGTGTATTCTGATAAATTTGGTCATTTTGTGATATTTCCTCAAATAATTATTTAATTTAAAAACCGAGGACATCCTCGTGCTTAGTTCAATCGGTAGATCCCACTAAAACATGAATGTCATCGAATTTGAAGCACCTGCAAATTCTCCATTGAGTAAGCTTCGCATATTCTAGCCCGTAAAAAAATATGAAATATTTCACAGCGTTACGTTTCATGAAATATCTCAATGAAATTTCAAATCTTTCTCATTTTTCTTTCATCGCGATCTACCCTACGGCGTGTGCAGCAGACGAGCGTCAAATCCTACTGAATTTAAGTTAAACGACCAATTTTTCACAACTCGCACCTGAACCCGAGCGGCCATCGCAGTTTAACGCCGTAAATTCCAACGCGGAGCTTTCGAAGAGATATCCCCCTTTCCCTGTACCCCCGATGGCCCAAGGCAGGGTGAGGGCTGAGGGGCCAAGGGGGGGGGGCAAGGGGGGCGATCTCGTTATCCTACGCACGAGACGAGAAACGGCGCGGCAAACTGATTAGCCGAGCCGCGTTTAATCTTGACAAGGAATGCAGATTGGTGGAAAATGTACGCGTCCAGCAACACCGTTGTCAAATTTACGGATGATGGTTTTGAATTAAGGAGGGCAGGCAGATGAGGAGCCAGGAATGCATCTTAGCCAGGGTATCCACTAAAAATGTATTGTTAGATTATCCTGATGTGTTCCTGATTTTTCTTATATTTTAAATAAAATTTCTTGATTTTTTACGCGAGCAGATTGAAATTCGTTTGATTTGACGAACCAACATTTTAATGAATTGAATAAAATGTTTCACTTTGCATGTGCTAAACTGCATGTAGTTAAAAATGCTTGACGCACTAAGAATGTCTGATCCATTACCGATTTTCTTGATATTTTCCTGATGACATCAAATTTCCTCATGTTTTCAAGTTGTTCCTACTTATACTGACGGTAGCAATCTTGATTTTCGGATATGCTGACCTTATATGACCTATATGACCTTGAAAGGAGGCTGATGGCACCTACGTTGCTTCTAAAATCAGCAAAAAATAGTGGTTCCGCAATGCAAAATGAAGTCCTAATCATGTAACATGGACACGCGGGACAAGCAAAATTCATGAAGTCGGACACGCGTTCTTTCGTGTTACGGAAAAACAT